TGAACAAAGAAATGATACTCTAGGAAATGACATGTTGTCTGAAATGGTAACGTCCAAGATAAAGAGGTCTAAAATGAGTGGGTCTTATACTCAAGTAGTTCAGTTTGGGGTGGGGTGGGGTGGGTTGACAAAACTGTCAATGTTGCCATATTACGTCGAAATTCTCTTTCACAAGGCATGCGTCCTTCATCTTTTGATTCTATTTCGTAGCTCAGCCGAGGGCTCAGTTGCTGCACATTACGCAGCAGCAGGCGGCCACTTAGATGTCTTACAATGGATATACAGAAGATCCTCGAGGACTATAGCGTACAGGGTATGTATGTATATTAAAATTTTGGGGGGAGAGGGGACACTAGAGAAAAACGTTTGCGTATGCGTGCATTTTAGCACGCTTTCTAAGAATTTTGAAGAGTTCGAGTGAGAAAATAAATGTTTGTTTTCTCCAAGTATACAAAAAAGTTCGAGAGTATACTTTTGTCAGACCAAGATACTGTATTAACAAACACAATATAAAAGAATTAGCCTTAAGTTTCAAGCATGAACGCTAAGTTTTAGCATTTTGTGAAGTCCAATTTAAAATTGAAAGTCAAATTTACTTTATGTTTTGACTAATTTGCATACGGACTCAGAGCATGCGCAGACGCTTTTCATTCGTGTCGGGAGTGGGTGGGGCAAGAGCATTTGTGAAGTGCTCATGTATCTTATAACCATATTTTTCTCAAAAAAGATCGGGATATACAGATTTATAAGTTGTAAATTCATTTAAACTTCCCCTTTATAAATAAGAATAAATAATTTTCAAGAAAATAGCGATGCACAGAGGTCTAGAATAGTCCATTTGCCGTCATAATGCCGTCATTTTCCTACCACTACCAAAATGCTTCGCGAAATAATTTCTTTCTCATTCAAATTGGTATTTCCTAATGAGAATAATAAGACAATTGGTGCTAATGTTAACCGAACAAAAGAAAGTGTGCAAGGGAGTCTGGTAGTGTAGTAAATGACGCCAATTTTCATTTGCATATTGGAAAACATTGCGTCAAAATTAGCCGACCGGTACGCCTAAATGTTTTCTTTTGTTTACAGGATCATAACGGAGCGACTCCACTTTATTTTGCTGGTAAGATACTACTGTGTCGTAATTTTATCTTGTACCCTTAATGGCCTCTATATTGATAACAGCATACTCGTGTTTTTTTCTGAATGTGTTACCCTGTGTAACTGATAAAGGTATGGCGATATTTACTGTTTACAAACATTGACGTCAGAAATCTTTTCTCATTCAAATTTGCCAACCCTTAAAAAAAGTTTGTCTTTGTTTCAGTAGCCAATAGAGGCTTTGCACCATCACGTGATGGCAGCCATGACAGAAGGCACAACAACAGGGTATCTTTATTCTGGGAAACAGAATTCTTTCTCATGTAAATCAGATTAGACCAGATCCAATTGTTCCTGCCCCCTGTTATGGCTGCCATCACGTGATGGTGCAAAGCTAGCTTCTATAGAGCTCTGGCTGTCTCATTTATATCAATAGGCGCATTTGTTATATCCACGTACCAATTTGCGCCCTATAAGTATTAAATTATTATTATATTTTATATATAGGTGACCATAGCGCAAACTTCTTTTTATAATATGTCAAATAAAGTACCTTCCTTTCTGAGATTTCACATCTCTTAATTCTTGGAGATTCTTGGAGATATTTGAGATCCAGCTAGGATTTTACATGATAGTAATCGTAACAGATGTCCTAATGTTATATTACGCTGCATTTTATTAGCTCAGGAAGGTCACCTCGATTGTCTAGAATGGCTTACTAAGAGATCCGGAACAGTACACGGTCAGATATCGATAGATGGGATGACCGCTGCCCATGCCTCGGCTCAAGAAGGACATTTGGACTGCCTTGCTTTTCTTATTCAATGCGCTGGATGTAGTGGACTGGCGCGAGATAAGACAGGATGTACCCCAATGCACTTTGGTAAGTATTCATGCAACCAATCAGAATGCAGAAAAGCTGTTGAACATTCGGAGGTATTCCTCTGTTCCTTCCCATCAGGCATTGCGATCCAGATGTATTTTTAATCACATTTTTAACGATGATTTATCGTGACGAACCATGAAATATCGCATTTGTCACTTGTATTTTCTTGTTTAACTTGAATGATGGCTACTGTGTATACTAGATAGTGCTAGATAATACAATTGACAATCGTTGGATATTTCATGGTATATCACTCAAACCCATTGTATAAATAGTAGTATGGCACAGCATACGGCACGGACGACGCCCTTTTAACCAATGAGAGCGCGCGAGATAAAAATGCTTGGCAACGGCAACGTCGCGGTCACAGCATGACACGACAGTTTCAGAGACTTGAGAGCTTCTCCAAAAATGCGGTTTGTGTGCAAGCCTCGATAGTAGTAGTGCCACGTCCTGACCACAGAAAGCCCAGTTTATAAATAAACGTTATGGAGTACTCACTTTTCAGCTGCGGCTGGTGGTCACCGATCATGCGTACATTGGCTAGCACTACATGGATGGGGGACTGGTAACGAAAGAAATAAAACTGGTTCCAGTCCCCTGCACGTGGCTGCTGAACACGGTCACATGGAAGTGGTCAAGCTGCTGATGAAATCGTAAGTAGCATTATGACATATCGACCCTCTTGCCCAATGAGCAACGTTAACCCTAAAATTAGTATAGTTGAAAACTAGCTTGTGGTTCAGCTGATGAACATACTACGTGTTTCCTGTTACCTATCTTCCTCGCGCCTTATGGCACATAGGGTCTTTACAGAGCTTTCCCACCTTTCCCTAACGGCTGCCACAGTCCGAACCTCTTCCCATAAACTCCAGTCTGCCTCCCCCCTTTCTTGTTCCACAGTCCGTCTCCATGTTGGCCTTGGTCTTTCCCTTCTTCTTTTTCTTTTTCCTTCCTTCTATATTTCCTTGGACATTATATTTTACACGAGACAGTTTGTTAGCCGACAAAATTCATCATTATCAATATTTATGGTGGTGTTCTTTTTTTTAAGAGGAGCCAAGGCGGATCTGTATGACAGACACGGACGGACAGCGTATGACATCGCTGTGGAAACTGGGAACGAAGCATGCGCTCAATTTCTTTTACAGGTAAAACATATCTTAAGGTTTCGTTCTCGTTCCCAGAGACCACGTTCCTTTCTGGTCTGCGTTGACTATGGGAAAACATTTTGAGTTTATTTAAATGACAAAATGCTGGCTAGTGTTTTGAAATTTGTCTTTAAAATTCTAAAAAAGACCTTCAACCTATATCCTACGTTAGATATTTTATGAATACATTTATCGAAGGTGTCGTATTGTCTGTTTATAGGCAACACACAAGACTCTCAATGGAATGGTAGCAAACATCTTTGTGCACCAGTCCAGCCTAAAAAGAGTGCGCTTCGAGAGGAAAGCCATCGAAAAAGGGATCCGTGATAGCAACCCCGAGCTCACCGAATCACAGACCCTAGAAGCTGTCAATCAATTGTACTACCCACACCTCGATCAATCCCAGGACCGAATGTTTCGTTCTAGAAGCCTCGTATATCCTTCATATTCGTCGTACCGTGAATCTAGAGCCTTAGCAGAAAATAGAACTTACTCAACAAATTGTCTCAATAAGGGAGTTAGTTTAACGAACTATTTGAGTAATTTTGACAGCTCTCTTACTCCTGTATTAGAAAGTCGACCACGTAATGGATACGTTACGCACCCTAGTCCGGCCAAGGGAAGTTTTCACCAGCCTCTTCAGCGGAGCTACTCAGAGCCAATTCAACCAACTCCGGACTTGATTACTGACAACGATAAATCGCCGAAGAATGGAATGTTGGGCACGCAATCTGTGCGTAATGAAGTCCTACTATCCGATTGGTCGTCGCCTAAAAGAAATTCATTCAAAATTAGTAACCCTTCAAATCAATACGAAGTAAGTTGTTAGTGTTTAATTTTGTTCCTTTGTTGTTGCTTTTTTTTTGGCTCGTTTGTTTGTTCCTCGAGCTTTGAAGAACATGGTGCATTGTGGTCTAGCTTGGGTACGAACTTCTTTTGTTCATGATGTCATATACAGTTATTTTTAAAAAGTTGGTGAAGGTATTGTTGTATGTTGCATACCAAGCCTGAAATGGACTCTTGGCGATGCATGTGAAACCAATCAGCGAAAGCGGATCACAACGATATGGAATTTCCCCAAACTTTGTCTGCACGTTTTTCCTGTATACTTTTCTTCTATGCCGACATTATTTACATAGGATCCACAATATATTTCAAGCTTGGTAAACAACAGGCAACACAACTTGTACCAACCTTTTTTGAAATAGCTCTATGTTGTTGTTAGCACCTTACCCAAGCTCGACCACGATGTTCAAAACAGAAAGAAATAAACTAGGCCTACGTATGACACAACTTAAAATAGGGAAATTAACGGGGGTGCTTCATTCCACACATTTGCTTTCGCATTAACGATAGAAAAAGAATAATCGTGATTATCGTACACACTTAATTTGTTTCCGTATTCAAGGTAAGAAAACAATGAACGTGATTGTAACCACGGCTCAATTTTAACTAAGGGTGACGTCATTTTATATTTTTAGGTAAATGGTTATAGTAATGTTTCTTGTTCTCGACCGAGCGTCTCGTCTATTTTATCAGCATTTAGGAGCAAATCAAGCAAATCAAAGGTAAAAATCCCGTGTATCGTTAACCATGCAGAGGTCGAGGAACGAACTGGGTCGAGTTTACATTGCAATGCATTTTGGGCCTGTTTTATGGGACATATCTATTTTGTCTCTTAAGACAGATCCACAATGCACTGCAATGCCAACTCGACCCAGTTTTCTCCTTAACCGCGGAATGTATTCAATCAAGTTCAGTTCTTGCTGACAACTAAGTATAAGACAGGACTACCATACTATGACTGGACTTTTTAACTGGCATAGAATGGTCTTAGCCTGGGTGTTTTTTTCACTTTCAGACCACGAGTCATTCCCTGAAACATCATTTCACCCTTTCATCATGCATGTCTTCAATTAACGGTTGCGCATGAGAAGACACACGAATACTGAAATGAATATCATTCGTTGCAATGTCGTGCAATGTTTTCTTATAGCTATAATTACCGACCCAGTGTCATTCTCATGAGAATAAGATTCTTTCATAGTTGCATCTACTTTCTTCTTATGCGCACTCGTTAAACAATGAAATGATACTCTAGGGAATGACATGTGGTCTGAAATGGGAAAACATTTAAAGATCATTTTAAAAAGGCAAATATTAATCCTAGTTATTCAATAATAACTTTTGCTTCCTTTCAGGAAAATCCAAATCCTGAAGCTTACAATCCCAAAGATCTGCTTCCCTTCCCAGTCGAGTCCGGCGAACTCAACGTGTTTCGTAGATTATACCGATTATCCAAGAAAAAACTCACCCGTACGACAAGTTTGTCCATCAGCGATAGAGACAGGGTACCAAACAAACCAAAAACACCACAGGATAGATTCTTAGTGACTGGTGAAGATCCTTTCATTCCTGGAAGCCCACGGCATTCATTTTACGAACCAACAACAACTGAATTATCACCCGATTACGAAGACCAGTGGACTGGGGCGAATGGTCACGTGGCTGGGATGTCGACCGATGAGGAGACTGGGGATAATATGCAAATAGTCTCTTACCACAGGCCTACGTCATCGGGCTTTACTATAGAAAACATTCGTACAAAAATGAGGGACAATGCCCTTATATGGTAAAAAAAAGTTTGTAATGAACTTTGGCGACTAGGCCTGGTGTCGAGTATTCATATAATTTAAGGGGGGAGGAGAGGGGAGTGAATCTTAAATGGACAATTCACACTGTGACGTAATTTCCTCAGCACCAGAATCCTTTTCGAATTCCGCTTCTTATTCAAACTAGGATATGGTGAACGGAATACGAAATGGAGACTCTGGTATTCGAAGTACTATGGCGTCATGATCTGAATGCTCACGTGAATACAAGTCTCGTTGATCGAGCTTGTGAAATAGCGAAGTACGTCATATATGAAATATCGCGATTTCCTACAACAAAGAAAATAGGAAAGAACGATAGATGGTACATGAATGAAGTACTTGCCTCCTTGAAAAATCTATAAAGAATAATCACCAATAGATCATCGCTTTTTAAAGTTAGTTTATATATTGTTTTCAATTGATTTGTAATTTGCTGAATGATAAAAGACCGTTTTTCGATCACGTTGTTTATATCACAATAATCCATACTCTGAAACTTTTGCAACATCTTTGTGCATTGGTTTTGAACTTGAAGCTGAAATCAAGCGAGTTTGGTAAAATAAATCATCTGAACTACCGTTTGTCAACAACCTTATTTATTCTTTGATAACTACTTTATAAGGCTTCTAGGCAAATCGAAGAGAACACATTAAATTTCAAGAGACGCTAACTAAAATATGCTTTAAAATATGAAAATAAGATTCTTTAGAAGCCACAGGAGCACGCAAATTTTGGCGCGAAAACCCCTGCAAAATCCACAGGTAGCCCAATTAACAAAGTAGAAATGGAGAAAAATTTACGACTTTTAGTCAAAAAGTTAGTTTGGAGGAAATAGGGGTGCGCAGTTTAGTTTTGCAAAGGGGTGAATGGGTAACAAAAAAATATTCTTCCCCGAAATGCCTCCATCCCATATATACTATCTACTATCTACCCAAGGCAAAAAACAAGTTAACTAACATAAAAATCATCAGTCATTTACCTAACAAAATCTAACACTGAAAAAATATAAATCTAGAATAATACACCCTATGCTGTTTCCCCGTGTTTTGAGTAGAGCCTGGGTACGAGAATGAGCATAAGTATTTCAAGGTCCAAAAATAAACCTGTAATGTTTTTCCATTCCAGACCTCATGTCATTCCCTAGAGTAACATTTCTTTGTTTAAAGGTGGCACATGAGAAGACACATGAATATGGATACAACTCAAACAAAGGTTATTTTGTTCTCTAGAGAATGACATGTATGAGGTCTGAAATGGGTAAATATTATGCCAACGGCAGCAAGTTTAAAAACAAGAAGATAAAACGTGAAAAACCGAAAGGCGCTTGACAGTTTCACTGCTGCTTTCCACGGTTAGTGAACACCAGGAAGATGAAAGCAAACACTCGATAGGCGATACCAAAAGCGAACATCACCCCGATACAGGTCCCGTAGTTATCCAGAGAATAACCATTCTGATTGGCCAATCCCTGAACAAAAGGATCCATGACGCGAGGAAAACGAATGGCTTCTTTTTCGAAAAGTGCCTCCACATACCAGCGGCAAAAAGACAGGTTGTAGAGAAGAGGACCAATGAAGGTGTACTTGTTCATATCACAGAGGGATGGAGACAGACCTGGCGAATGGGGAATAATGAGGTCAGTAGATGATACATTTTTTTACAGTGATATTTTTGATTTATTTAAAAAAGATTTCTGCATAGAGTCGGGAAGCGTTGTTAGCGATGCGATAAAAAAGGAGATAGATGAGTTGGTGTAATGGAAAGCTACTCTATATAGATTCTACGAGATAGAAAGGAACGAACGAACGAACGAGGGAGGAAGGAAGGGAGGGAGGAAGAGAGGAATTGAAGGGAGAAATGAAGGAAGGAAGGGAGGAAGGAAAGGAGAAAGGGAGCAATTGAAGGGAGAAATAAAGGAAGGGAGGAAGGGAGGGAGGAAGGGAGGAAGGGAG